GGCCCCAAGGGCCAAATAAAGGCAAGCAAAGGGATGCATCCAGACCTTGGGCCACAGTTTGGAGACCACTGATCTAGGGGATGGAAAAATGCTTTAATTGAACCGATACTCCTGACAGATGGTGCTCCTTTTTGGGTGGACTGTCACTCAGCATCATCACATCCAGTTCATGACTATAGACCTAAGACCCCTGGAGCAAGGGGGAGAAGAAGTTGATCTAGCAATATGGAACTGATCTAGCAGTGTGGAGGAGCAAAGGATTTGGTAAATAAATCTTCTTTTCTATGTACCCTAGACCTAAACAAGCTGTCAACCCTTGCTGTGCAGGCACAGCCTCACTATGAGGGAGAATTTTCAAGTTCCTTGGAGTTAGGCTTTTAGGCCAAATCATATTTGAACTTTAAGTTCCAGATTAAATGTATATTACAGGATCCTGATGGTTAAAAGCGAAGTATGGGCAAAGCTTTTTTGACCATACTTCTCTGGTGGGTCACAGAAGTGCACTTACTTTTTCCCTCCTGTGACCCAGAATCAACCAGCTAAAGCCTGCTGTTGGCTGATGTTGCAGAGCCAATCCAGGCTCTGGAAGGATCCCATCCTTGTAGGGATTCACCCAGCTGCTTGATTGACATCTGGCTTCCCCATGATTCACTGGGGAATCCCTATCCCACAATTAAAAGGGGGCCCACACCTCACAATCTACTGAGGAATGCCACCACACAATCTGCTGCAGTATCTCCCTCTTCCCCAAGAAACAATTGAGTACTGACGTGATACTTTTTGTAATTTTCACTAACATACAATTTTGAGGACAAGCTTTCGGGGTATGTCCCCTTCTTCAAGGTCCAGGCAGTACTACCTGGACCTTGAAGAAGGGGACATATCCCAAAAGCTTGTCCTCAAAATTGTATGTCAGTGCAAAAAAAAAAAGTATCACGTCAGTACTCAATTGTTTCTGTCGCAAGTGCACTAATATGGCTCTGATCACCTCTCCCCCAAGCAACAGATAGCTTCCAATTCACAATCTACTGGGGAATCCCAACCTTAAATCCATTGGTAAATTCACCCAACAATCAACAAGGAGCTCCACTGCACAATCCACTAGAGAATTCAATGTCCCACCTCACAGTCTACTGAGGAATCCCAACCCAAAATCCACTTGTAAATCCCACCCCACAATCAACAAGGAAATCCCATCCCACAATCCACTGGGGAATCCCAGCTTACAATCAACAGGCAGATCCCACCCCACAATTAAATGGGTGATTCCATGCAGCAAGCAACAGGGATATCCCATCTCACAATCTACTGGGGAATTCCAACCCAAAATCCACTTGTGAATCCCACCCCACAATCAACAGGGAGCTCCTAGCCCACACTCCACTGGAGAATTCCATGTCACAAGCAACAGGGAGATCCCACATTACAATCTTCTAGGGAATCCCAATCCAAAATCCACTTGTAAATCCCACCCACAATCCACTAGGGAATCCCAGCTTACTATCAAACAAGGAACCCCACCCTACAATCCATCCCCCAACAGCTAATCAATAAAATCATAATGCATATACTGGCTTGCTCATTCTTGTCGTTGCCTCAACCCCTGATCATGGGAACCAAGGATGATCAACTGAACCCACTGCACCTTTTTACTGCTGCTACATTTCCATAGACTTTAGTGACCAATGCATTTGTCTGAAGGAGGCATGTTTAGAGCAATATAAATAACTTTGGCAGTTAATAATAATACTGTATAATGATTTGTATACATCTCTACACTAGAGCTAAACAAGGACATTTGTAAATGCATGAGAAGAGGAAAAAACATTCTCTCCAAATGAGGGACAGTTGGGATGGCTATGTAAAAAGGACCCCTTAACCAATTCAATAAGAGGGGGGCAGTTTACCCCTTCACTCTTGATTTGAGATAATCGACCTGCTTATCTCTAATCATGAAGTACAAGAAACATGGTATATAAACCTTCATATTGTGTGAAAATGACTCTGAAGAGGAACGCATCCTCTGGTTCTTAAAGAGTTAAGTACTCAGAGAAATTAGAATGGCCTAGCACAAAAGCAGTTGTTTGGCTTTAATAAAACGTCTTATTACCGTACAGTATGTACCATAAAAATGATGTATTGTCTGCTTTATAGTTGTACACAGCCTCTAACCACTGTTGTAAAAACAAGTCCTGAATTTCCTGCAGGCGTTCCGTGTCAGACAAACAGATCTAGCGGTGACCTCGCACCTAGGTGTCCATCATGCTGGGTCTGGTCACGGGTTCTAATAGCTCAATCTCTGCCTCCCTGCATCAACAAATAATAAAAAGAAAATCCTTTAGAAAATGGAATTCTTTTTTTTTCTTCTTCTTTTCCCCTTTCTTTTCTCTGGCAACCTTATTTAAATGTTAATGTAATATTTGCAGGTCAGATGTTCAACGTTTTTGTACTTTAAGAAATGCGTCTGCTCTTGCTTTATGTCTCGATAGATCAGGAAAAGAAGGGAGGGAAGAGAGGAACTTCAAAAATAAAGGATTAGGCATATCTGAGGCGTGTTTTTCTATATTGCTTTTCTTATAGAAGAATGGTGGTTATCGAGTTTGCTAATTGAGGACAGAGTCAGTGAGGACCACTGACCGCAGTTAGTGTTGACTGGCTCAAATAAAGCCCGTAGAGATGATCTAATATTTTTCTTAAAGAGGGATACTCACCCACCTACCTAGGTTTAAGTAAATTCCCAGTCACTGTATGGTGATAGAAAAAAAATTCTTTCCAGACCATGGAGTCCAGGATTGTCTTCCTTGCAGTCAAATTTGGAGAAGACTATGCTGCAAGGAATACAAACTGAAACTTTGTAGAGACCTGCACATGAGTGGGATATTTCAGGATGGAGGCACGGGAGCAGAGCAGTTCAAGGAGTCCATCTTGAAGTATCCCGTGCATGCTAACACAGGTTGCCGGTCCCCAGCAGATTTCATACTTGGTTGGTTTAAGGTATATGGGACCTGGCAGAGACCTGCAGGAATTTGTTGAGCGCATGCTTTCCTTACTAAAACTGCCTTCTGGGATTTGTGCATGGCCAGACATGTTGCAAGTCTCCAGTAGGTTTCATACTTGATTGGTTTCATGCGTGTGGGACCTGGCAGAGACCTGCAGGATCTCATTTTGTGATTGCTCCCCTTACGAAATATGTTATCTGTGATTTGTGACATGAACGTTCCACAAGCCATCATGGGGATCCCTATGTCAATCTTGCATAAGGAAAGAATTAGGAAGTGGAGGGCCGCCCAACAAAAGAGTCCAGCATTGTCTCTCTTGCAGTTAAAGTTCTCCTTGCAGTGCTCTCTTCCCACACCTGCATTTTGAAATACCCCATGCATGGCCAGACACGTCTCTTCCAGGTTTCAAAAACGTGGAAGAGACCAACAGAATATGTAAGTGCAGAATCCCCCCCCCCCCCCCGTGTGTGTGTAGACATGGTGCTGGTTTTAGATATGTAGGACCTGGCAGAGAACTGTCGTTTCTTGTTTCATGCTTGCACCCCGTACGAAAACTGTCTTTTGGAAAGCATGCATGAGCTTTCAAGGAGGAAGAAGGGATACCTATGACTTTCTTGTGAAGGTGAGGGAATCAGGCAGTGGAGGGCCATCCAACAAAAAAGTCCAGCATTGTCTCCCTTGATGTCAAAGTTCTCCTTACACTGCTCTGCTCCCACACCTCCACTTTGAAATATCTCGTGCATGGCCAGACATGTTGCAGATCTTTGCCAGGTTTCAAATACTTGGAAGAGACCAGCGGTATTTCTGCTCATGCCCAGGATTTACCACCAGCATGTGTAAAAACATGCCACTGGGTTAAGGTATGTGGAATCTGGCAGACACCTGTGGGATCTCATTGCACACACGTGCCCCTTACTAAAAGTGCCTTCTGGAATGTGTGTCAGGAAAATTTGAGTAGGAAGGGGGGTCCCTATACCATTCTTGCCTAGGCAAGGAATCAGGAAGCAGAGGACCACACAACATAAAAATCCAGCATTGTCTTCCTTTCATTCAAAGTTCTCCTTGCACCCCTCTGCTCCAGTGCCTCCATCCTGAAATATTCTGAGCATGGCCAGACAGTCTCTGCCAGGTTTCATATACTTGGAAGAGACCAGCGACATATATGCACAGAATCCCCCTCCCAGTGCATGCATAGTCATACCACTGGTTTTTTAGGTATGTGGGACCTGGCAGAGACCTGCGGAATCTTCTTGTGAACATGGGTGGGGCTTCTTGCACAATGCAGGGACCCTAGTGAACACACTTGCTAATACCCTGGGAACATGGGCACGGAGGCCACGGTCATACGAACATCAACATTAAGGTGGCACACCAACTTGGAAGTGAACCCTTTGTTTTGTTGTTACCGGCCCTTGCCTGGTTAATGACTACTAAACTGCCTGCTGCCTATACCTTAAAATGCCCAAACGTTGCTGACCTGGACTGTCTGACCTTGCCTTGGTTCTCATATCTGCACCAGCATCAGCTGACCCATGCCTGCCTCTGGCTCTGGTCCTTCTGCTTTTGTGCATCCAGCCAGTCATCTCTATGCACCCCAATGCACATCAGCACCTGTCAGCAGAACATTTTACAGGCACTCGTGCTACTCGGTGCTCTGGTGTTCTCTATTAACCTACCAGGGTTCCTGGTGGTCCTGAATGGAGATACTTCACCACTCAGACCTCAATCTGGGCAGGACCTGCACACAGTGACAGATACTAGACTTTGTATAGCCTCCTCTTACCCCTTCTGATGACTGGCTTCTGTCAAACGGTCATACTGGAAAACGAGCCTTCGATCAGCACTTGCAGCCAATGGCAGAAAGCGCTGATCTGTGTATTCTAATGGGAAGGGAAGTCCCCTTTTCAAAATACAATAGAGCAATGGGAGAGATCCTCACATCTACATTATTTGTGTTGATCCAGGGATATGTACATGTAAACGTGGCTTCAGGACCAGTTCACACCAGAATGTGGTGCGGGAAACCTGCGTGTTTCCTGCACCATGTTCAAAAGGCAATGCAGTTGCGATCTGCAGAGGGTGTCAATGTTGAGTTAATGACTTTCCAAATGCAGTGTGTTTGCCCGCTCCGGATACACAACTTTTGGTGTGGTGAGGTGCGATTTAAGCCCATTTTGCCACCATGTGCAGCTGAGCACAACTTCCAGCCACTATGTGACCTATTTTTATTCTTTATACTCCTGACGAAGCTCTGTTTTCTGGAGCGAAACATGTAGAGTTTCTTTTTATGATTTGGGTCTTTTTTTGGGAGCACTTTTTGAATGTACATGGTATTCACTCCTCTCTCCCCCCCTTTTTTTTTTGGAGAGGTCTGTACTGTGTTTACAATGCATAATTTGCATTCTTCAAGACAGTGAGGTATTTTTGGTGGATATGGTGATGTATGGGGCTTGTCCATGACAGGCTGACATTTAAGCCTGTGGATGAGTGTACCCGTATTACATATCTGTAGCAAGATAGATTATACCATCCAATTAGTTTTATCCATGGGGTAACTCCATTTCCTTAACAGAGATTATATATTCAAGCTGATAGGCCTATGATCAAATTACAGTGCCTCTTTGTATGCTGTCACCTCATCTAAAACGGTATGGTATTTGATTTCGTCTGGTGTATATTAACCATTTGGATGTAAGGTAAATAATTGCAATGGTATCCAATTATATTGGTGTGCGCATGGGCATTTCACTCCAATAGGCATTAATTACAGCTGAGCATACACTTTTTATATATTTGAATAAAGGTTATATTTTAGATTCCTCAGTTGGCCAGATGGTGCATAAGGAAATGTACCCTCGTCCAGTATAGATTAATTAAAAAATGGGTTGAAATCGCACCGCACAGAACTGCATGGGAATCGCACAGAAATGCACAGCAAATTCCTGTGCAATTATCAATGTGAACCAGCCCTAAAGCTGACCATAGATAGGCAAAACTTCAAATGATAATTCTTAGGAAAAGAATGTTCTATAAAAGTGTAACTATCAAGTGATACCATCCAAGAACAGACAGCACTGAATAAACGTGGTGAACCTTTTTCTTTGGTGGACTTTACTCAATGCTCTCTCTTCTTGGATGTTACATTGTATCACTTGATAGTTATGCCAAGCAGGGGGCGGACTGACAACCCCCGGGCAATAGGGGATCATGGGGCCCCCTACTGACCAGGGGAGGACTGACAACTCATGAGGCCCCTGTGTCCTTGCCCAAACTCAAAAAAGCCTATGAAAAAGGTACCAGGGGCATCTCATGGGGCCCCCTACTGACCCCGGGCCCTCGGGCAGTGCCCGAGTTTCCAAATGGTCAATCCACCCCTGATGCCAAGTATTTGTATTTTTATACACCAATTGTTGTGCTTTTTTGTGAATGCACTGATTATACTTATTTTGAAAATTGATCACATGAGGAGTGAGGAGAAAATTGCCTATAGCCGGCAAGTCTATTTACACTGTGGTCAGCTTTGATTGAACATAGCTGATTATGTGGTAAAGGGACACTGTGATTGGTCCTTTACCTCTCTCTGTGATCAGCTGTGTCTGAAGGGCACAGCGATCACAGAGCTCTCCCGATGCGGGCCCAGGGTGTGCGCAGGGGGACAGGGTTCTAGGAGGACATCCACAGATACCCTTCCAGAACCAGCCAACCACACTGTAGCAATCTTTCGGCTATATTGTATGTAAGATGAAGATTAAGAAGGTGGCAAATTCCAACGTGGGTGGTATTCTTTAGGGGTTAAAAAAAGGGGGGGGGGGTGTACAGTACTGATGGTTATCCACACTACATGGCTGAGCAAGAGAAGGAGTTGGTTGAAAAAAAATGAGATGAGAGTAAGGAGCACCTGGGTGGGGCCACATATAGAAGCCTGGAGGTAACACACATGGAGGAAGGGAAACCTCCCAACTCAAAGGTAACAGCCTCAGATAGATGTCACGATTATTAGGAGATAAGTCCTTAGATAAAGAGGACAAGGTTTTAAAAAGTAGACCTTCAGGTTGGGTGTCTTCATATATGGAAATAAGTGAGGTCCGTCCCCGGATAATAGGTGCATGAAGGTACTACTGCAATCAGTGAAGCCTACCTCAATCTGTCACAACACCAGCTCACTCCAGAAGGGCGGTACAGCTGTTAATTGATTATAATTCTAACAAATTAAATAAATTAACGCCCAAGCGATTGGCGCATCTAAAAGCACCTAAATGTTTTACAAGCATCTATAAGTGTCAAGCAAGGGCAGACTGACAACTCATGGGGCTCCCGGGCAATAAGGGATCATGAGGCACCTGTGTCCTTGCCCAAACTCAAAAAAGCCTATGAAAAAGGTACCAGGGGCATCTTATGGGGCCCCCTACTGACCCCGGGCCCTCAGGCAGTGCCCGAGTTTCCAAATGGTCAGTCCGTCCCTGGTGTCAAGTGTTTTTCTGCCAGAACACCACTGCAATGAGGAAAGATGTCTAAGAGAGATGGGCAAGGCATCCAATGTGCGTGAGGCCAAATTCTCACAATAATGGACTTTCCCACAGAAGAAAATCAGCCAAAATATCTCTAAATTACATAGAAAATAAAATACCTTTTGTCTTGATTATTTGCAGCATGTATACTGATTTTCACATCCATCTGGTAGCAGAAATGTCACTGTGCCTAGTAATGGTTATCTTTGTGGGCAGTATAGGGAAGTGTTAGTGCCTCATCCACACTCCAGCACAGAGCACCGTCTCTAACATATGGAGCAATTCACATCGACTGAGCGCTGAATAGCGACCTACAGCTGGGAGCTCAGCAAGCTCTGGGACTCTGGGCTTTGATCCTCATTAAAACGGCAAATGAACCATCATTACGTCTCAGCAAAATCTCACTTTCTGTAAACTGTCTTAAAGCTGAACTCAGGGAGAAGCAAATACTGTCTAAGTGCAAGAGTCCTGCGTATTCTTCATTGAATCTTGGCCTTGGTTAGACCTGTGCAATAAATATAGTGTGAGACTTCCTGTAATAATGACCGGTCACTGCTGCTCTCTCTCCTTGTGCAGGATGACTGGTCTGGTCTCCTCCCCCTCCTGTAGTTTTTGTCAGGCAGCCTGTAGTGGGTGGAGCCTCATGGGTTCCTCCCACAGCTCTGCTCCCTTCACAGGCTTGTAAGCAGGTAGGGCAGACTAAGTCACCTTTACGGTGCCTCCCGGAAGGAGAGGACTGGGAGCTCCAATAAAAGCCAGAGATGGGGGGTCACGGGAAGGAAGGTCAGGCTAATGTGCTCCTGCTCTCCCCCTTGCTGGGGGAGTGACAATTGTAAGGGTAAAATCTACCCAACACCATGGGCACTGAGACAGGAAGTGATGGGAAATTTCCCTAAGTGGGGGGCACAGATAATAAATAAAAAACAGACAGCCATCTGTGCTCTGCTGGGGAAATTTGCACTCACATTCTGGTTCAGTAACCATTGCCAGTGGACTTCCTCCCCAGCAATAAAAAAACCCAAAAGATTGTTTAACCAGTTCCCATCCAGGCAATAGCAAAATGAGGGCCGAGTGGGACTTTTGTCAATCCAGGTGGGTGCCATGTGACCCAGACGTCACCTGCAGGGCCATGCTGTGGCAAGATCTGTCACCGGCTGTGTCCATCAGACACAGCTGATGACCAATCTGTGCACCAGCCTGTTGCCCATACCATGTGATTGCTGTGACCAATCACAGCAGGTCACATGACCTGCAATGTCACCGCTGCTGTAGGGAAACTGGAAAGACAGAGGAGGCCTCACCTTCTACAGTCATTGCAGTATACGGGGACTGGTGAGAGAGCTATTCACCCATTGCTGTTACTACTACCAGAGACTGAGCTACTGAGAGGAGGACATCAAGTGTATCCAATCCATGCCATACCTATACTTCATTCTATCCTGCAGTTATTTACTGCAACTAAAACCACATCTACCTTGCACCTCTTCTGAGACTGCACCATGCCTATACTGTACCTATACTGCATGCAGGTTAACTGGGGCTGTCATTAAGTGCACCAATGCTCTTCATGGGCCCCAACAATAACCGGCAGAATAACATCTCAAATGCCCCTACACTTGAGGTGGCCTTGCTACTGTTTATGCTGATCTGGATGCCAAATATTAACCTCGGTGTAGAGCTATTCACCCTGAGGTCAACGCAGAGGACAAGGGGGCACTCTTTATGTCTGGAGGAAAAGAAATTTAATCTCCAAACACAGAAAGGTTTCTTCTCAGTGAGAGCTGTGAAAATGTGGAATAGACTCCCTCCAGAGTTGGTTCTGGCCAGCTCAGTGGATTGCTGTAGGAAAGTCCTGGATTCTTTCTTAGATACACAGAATATAACTGGATACTAACATTTATAGGTAAAGTTGATCCAGGGAATATCCAACTGCCTCTCGGGGATCAGGAAGGAATTTTTTTCCCAGCAGGAGCAAATTGGATCATGCTTTGCTGGGGTTTTTTTTGCCTTCCTTTGGATCAACTGTGAGTATAAGATTATAACATTTTTTTTTCTATGCTTGAACTGGATGGACTTTTGTCTTTTTTCAGCCAGAATAACTATGTAACTATGTAACCTATGCCTAGTCCTTACTGTTAATCATTTTGTAAGCTAAGTTGTGATATTACCATTGTTAATTAATTTTATGCTTGCCTAGTTACCCACCATATTGGGTGACAATATATTAAGTTTGTAAATAGTAAGCGAGCGCTATCCAAGGTTCAGATAAGCTGCTAGAACACCAAAAAGGCAACCAAGAACAGACCTTCCAATCAATAAATATCAATAAATAAAGGTGCAGCGCTAGATATGTATAAAAATTTGACAAAATGGAATAAAAACATAGAATGTATGGTAGCAATATAATCAAATGCAAAATAGTGCAAAATTGTCAATCACACTGTGGTGAAATTAAATGGATAAATGTCCCAAATAGCTGAAAAATTGCCCACGTGGGGATCCAGTAGATCCTAATAGAGTGCGTGGGGGTGAGGGTCCAGTGTGCCACACAGTGGATATAATATAAAGAATGCGCACTCACCAGAAGTGCGTCAAACATGCGCATATGAGATTTTCCTGTCTCATCAGGTATTGGTCATCTACTGCCAGAACGGGGTCAGGGTCATACACCATCCAATCTCCTCTAGGATAGGTACTCCAAAAGCC